TTCTTCTTCTTCTTCTTCTTCTTCTTCTTCTTCTTCTTCTTCTTCTTCTTCTTCTTCTCGCCAAACTAGATTAACCATGCATTGTTGTTGGCAGTATGCCTATGGTTCGGAAGAACCAAAAAAAACAAATGAACCAAAGGGGAAACCCCAACATCGTCAACCGATGCCATGCTGTTTGGAGGCACTTGATTTTGAATCATCATCCCCATATCAGGTATGAAACAATATTTCCAGTAGACCTTTACTGGTTTTTGGTTTGCCAAACATCAGTTGGTTTGTGTGAATGGCTAGAGCGGCATCTGTATCATGGATCGATCATTGGTGCCTGCCAGGGTATCTCTGGTTTCTCTGTCAACCAAATCGTTTATCTGGGAACACAATTTTCGGTCACAACACCTTGGCGTTTGTAGAACCTGTCCAACACCTCGTAGTTCTTCAACCACATCAGGCGTTGAAACACCGGTATTTGGCTCTCTTCTCGCCAAGGGGCTCCATGTGTCGGTCCATCCGGTGCCGGCAGAGCACGTGCTTCAGCCGCAAGAACGACGTCCGGTCCCTGCGGAGGGATACACGGTCCAATCAAGGGATGGATCACTGGATGCAATTGACACAACGCTGTTCAGATGTCCATGTTTGGACATCGGAAAGGATGCGGCTTTGGCTGGAACACCATTGTGGCTGTTGATTCCCGAAAGCACATGCGGAGGGTTTGTCTGAAAGAAAGGCTACCAATTTCAACTGTCCAACCATGGCCATCACCATCATCACCATCATCACATCCTCGTAATCATGCAGGTGTAGAAATGCAGGTGATGCAACTGCTACAACACACCTGCATAGATACAGGTTTTTGGATACAGTTGGTAGCTACAGGTGTTTAGATACAGGTGAAAACACCTTCCTATACAACCTTTTTTAGTTTCTCTTGAGGCGGCGGGCTGGTCCGCGCAGTGCTCACAGGCCCGGATACGCGAAGCTGTAGTATTAATATCCGAATCGTCTTGGGTTTGGGGCGATCCTCTGCAAAGATTGCGCGTGTGGAGTGTTCACAGGTGATACCTCTGGAAGCCCGAAAGCAACACAGACCAAGATATGTTGGCAAAATGTTGCTTTTCGAAGCAGCACGGCCTTGGAAAGATCTTCTATGATACGCAGCACCAAGAGGCTTTGAAAGCATTTTTGATGCGACCAAGATCTTGGTCGACCGGAAAGGTTTGCGATGTGACCCGGATGCGGGGTAACCCTGCCCTGCGGATCGATCGCCTGCAATCATAGCACAACATCAGACCACAAACATAGCGTCCTCTTGGCATCTCTCCTTAGATCGTCCCGCTATGACAGCATCCGCGGCACAGAGGCAGATGCAAATCCGGGCCGGCTACAGGGCAGCAGGTCACCCGCTAGCTCTGATTCTCATGCAATGGATGAAGTGGGGATCCAGCCATAATCACTTGTGTGCAACCACCAGCTATGAAAAGACCACCCAAAAGAATCCGTTCAGGGTCAGAGAATCCATGGATATATCCACGGACTATGCAAAAGTCGACCAACCGTTGTATTCTCTGCCCCTGAGACCCCTGGATGTGACAGGTCCAATTCGGAGCATCTCCAAATCGGAGGCCGCGATCCGTCGACCAGATGGCGATCTTTGAGCCGGCCCCCATCCATCCGTTGGTGACCAAAGAAAGGTTGTTTTTGGAGGTGTTCTTGGGGTTAGGGAGGCCCAGGCCCTTTTTGGCACGGATCGTCTCTTTTTTCGTCTCAAGTGACATGAATGGAAGTGCCAGAATGGCGGGAACTCTTCGGAACACTGCACCATGAGGAAGTCAGTTTGGCAGAAAAGAAGGCTAAACCAATGAGTTTCACCGAATCCTGCATGAAAGTCGATCAACGACCCGTCCCTATCCAACCGGATTTCCCTTGGCGTGGAGCTTTGGTCAGTGTTTCCTCTCAGTCCTATGCACCCCAGTTCAGCATGTTGCCCATCGCAGCGACCACCGTTTTGACACGTACCAAGCAGCTATGGACAGGTTCCCGTCCTGCGATCAAAACCACACCGTCAGCACATCAACACCAAACAAACGAGGTGAGAGGTTGGTTCTTATGACCTAATGGGCCATAATTGGGGGTTTACGTTCACCAAAAGCATGAGTGACAAATACAGCTTCAACAAAGAATACGGTATGTGTACATAGTATGTGTTAAATATGTTACTTTTAGCAATATCTAAAGAGTTACATTCCAATTCCCACCTTCTCCTCGCATCTCCCGAAACCGGTTCTCCAAACAAATCGCTTCCAAGGACGCATGGCTGTGCTGCACGTCCTCCGATTTCCATCAGCTCAAAGGTGACGCCGTGGCTGGGCAGCAGCTCCCGGAGCTCGGCGAAGATGGCGTCCTCCGGGTCCAGGTGGAAGAACATCCCTGCAGCGCAGGCCACTGCCGCAGGGAGGCAAGAAAGCGCAGACTCCGTTGGTGAATTGGTCCGACCAAGCGGGATAGGAGGGGTTTGATGCCAGGTAGCAAATATAGAACTACAGTATCTCTTAGTTGTTTGCTTAATGGGTATCCCGGAATCCCCTCAATTTGATCAACCAACCAATAGTAAAGGGCCTTCTATGGCGATGAACCAGAGCAGCCGAGCCAGGCGAGTTTTCACCAGAGGAAGATGTGGGTCAGAACCAGCGGAAGCACGTGGATCTTTTTGGAAGATCGGGTTCAGTGCCGAATTGGCCTGTTCCAGGCCGTCAGGCTCCATGCGGCTCCCAAATTCGCGGACCAACTCCCATGTCATGGGCTCTTCGCTTTGGACACCTTGACCATGTCGCGCATCGGGGCTTTTCGTTCTCTCTGATCCCGGCGGAGGATGGGGAAACGCAGGCGCCCTCCTGCACCATCCAACAAGCAGTTCTGGTATCTAGTGATCCAGTGACCCCAAAACAAATGGAAAAGTGAATATCCTCTCAAAATCTGGACACCATGTAAACTTTAAGCTGAATATATGAGGACCCCTCTAACAGCGGGAAGCCCAGATGTCATACTGTCCATGCGTTCACTTAAGTGTTCACACATCAGGCTTTCTAGGGGCTTTGGACGACATTAACCCCCTGCCGGCCCCTGCCTGTCTGCATTCCGATGCTTGGCTTCGGATCATCTTCACCTCAGCGCCCATGCGATCTGTCAACGTCCTCGGCAAAGTGTGCTACGAAACTAACATCGAAACCAAAGGGTAAAAGCAACAATAGCCAAACCCTGCTGTGGGTTGCGATGTTACTTTGACATACAATCTGTGCAGTCACTTGTATAGCCTCTTTAATTCTGGTGTCTTCTGGTCATTATCCGCAGCGTATGTGAAGTAATGACCTTTCCGTTGGATGACGTTGTTGGCTTTACAACCCCCCAAAAGTTTTGGGTGGTTTTCCTCAACTTCCATGGTACCTGCTATGACAAGCCATGAGAGCACACAACTGTCTACGGCAGAGAAAACCCGGATTTACTCGGTCTTTTTTGAATGCATTTGGCATGGATTCAAACCTCTTCATTCCACAACGGGTGATCTTAGCATGAGAGCTCAAACCCGGATCCTGTACCATGGTGTGTGTCTGTGTGTGTGTGCGCTGCAAAAATACAGTACAGTTGACTGCCTGTGTGTGGTTTGTCTGGTCCGGCTCCCGTGCTTCGTTTGATGGTTGGGCCCCCAAGGGTGGCGGGTGGTCGCCGTGTTTCCGATTGGTGATCCACTCCTGAAAGCTCCTGGTTCCGGTAGAGACACAATACGGCCGTGTGAGGTTTCACACCCACAAGGTCTCCTTTTGACTCGAGGGGTGCCAAAAAAAAGAGTTCTGGAATGTTCTGGAATCATGCAAGTAGAGAACCAAATGTGATGCTATCTCTCACTAAAGGTGTCTTCAAGCAGCGCCATCACACATTGTCCCTCAAACCTAAGAATTCTCGGACTTAAGAACAAATTCGAAACAATCCTGGGCAGCCTCCTTGACAGACATCAGCCTCAATGATTCAAGCTCTCCAGAACACAGATTCACTAATTAGTGCCCGAGTCAGGATCTGTATGTCCAGCAAACTGTTTGGCTTTCGGCTCAAGAAGTCACCTGGTTCCAACTGAGAACTTGTCATTGTAGTAACCTCTCCATGTGGCACATCTCCAGGTCCAGCGTGGAACCCTCTCTCATGCACCCACGAGAACCGCCCGACTCGCCCCCGACCCGCCCGTTCCGACTAGCCCCAACCACCCGAGACCTCCACCCACCTCCACCGGGCCACAGGAGTCGTGTAGGAACCGCTGCAGCAGCGACGTCTTCCCCGACGCGGGGGGACCCACCACCAACAGCACCGGCGGCGCCATAGACCGCGGGCGGGGGCCCCGAAGTGGCGTGGCGTTTGGGATGGGCGGACGGGAGTGAGCTGGGGGACGTGGCGGGAGTGAGTTGGTGGTAGGCCTTTCAGAGTGTGTGTTGTTGGCCTTTCAGAATCGAAGCACGAGCAACTATGAAGTTTTCACGGCGGGCGGAGAAGGGTGATCAGCTGGTGCGTGGAGAATTTGAGCTGTAAGCACTGTAAGCTGTATGGTCGGGATACTGACACTGGTGGTTTGGAGTGGCAAGACTGGCAAGACTTATCCATTCTCAAACTAAAGACCTCAAAGCATCAAACCAATCTGGGTGATTAGACAGACTGCATCTTCTTGCAAACGACCAGCCATCTGAGAAACTGTAGAGAGACTGCATCACAAGTCCATCGGGTCCTGCCGAACACAGCACCAATCTTGGAACCCATTAAAGGTAGAAATCCATGTACAGAGAGAGAGAGAGAGAGAAAAAAAAAAAAAAGATAATTTGCACGACAGCAGGATGCCAAAAGTCC